GGAGGTAATTCTGTCACTAGAATTCCAGGATGTTTTGCAGGAATTTTGGAGTCACACCTTATCATCTCAATGTCTGTGATAAGGAATCATTTTCTAATCTCTCATCTCATGGGCATCCAATAGGTAAGAAAATGGCCACTTTTGGAGTTGGAAAACTTATTACACTGATTGTGAACCCCTGACATGATTCAAGGAGAAAGTGAGTGTTGCTCTTGAGAGAACCATGGTCCTTAAGAGGATTTAATACTCGTGAAGAAAGGAAAACAGTTTTAAAGAGGAAAGACAATTCCATGAATACACATGTCAGATCAAAATCTTCAGTGCCCTTATCAGGTATATGATCTTAACATGACCTGATCCTAGTGAGCACATTTTTCTGTTTTTATGCACTGTCTTCCTTCTTTACTTTCTATATATCCTTCTTTGATAAACCCAGCTGGTGGCTGGTGAACAGCACTGCCCTTATGGGTTCATCTTTTCCCTGTGTTAGCCCTTTTGTGCTCATCAGCAGAGGCCCCCGTGTCTCTAGGCTGTGGTATACCTGCGGCACAAAGATCAGTGATCTCTATAAGTGGGTCAGAGCATGAAAATGCTAGAGGGCCAGTGCTGTGGCACAGCAGGTAAAGCTGCCTGCAGCGCCTGTACCCATATGGGCACCAGTTAGAGTCTTGGCTGCTCCACTTCCGATCCAGCTCTCTGCTATGGCCTGGGAAAGCAGTGGAAGAAAACCAAGTCCTTGGGCCCTTGCAACCACATGGGAGACCTGAAGGAAGCTCCTGACCCCCGGCTTTGGATCAGCGCAGCTCTGGCCTTGTGGCCAACTGGGGAGTGAATCAGCGGATGGAAAAACTCTCTGTCTCAGTCTCTCTCTCCCTCTCTCTCTCTCTTTCTCTTTCCCTCTTTTCTTCTCCTTCTCTCTGTGTGTAACTCTGACTTTCAAGTAAATGAATGGAGCTTTACCAAAAAAAAAAAGAGAGAAATGTTCAAGACTGAATATTGTCCATTTATGAATTCATCCATATATATATATACACATACATATATATACATGTATACATATATATATAATATAGCAATTATTATGGTTGGACCGAATCAGAAACAAGATAGAAAGACTGAGCTTGATCACAAAATTATTTGTCACTTAGTAAATAGCCCAGCATAAATCATGGAAGGGTTTCTTTTTTTTTCTTTTTAGAGATTTATTTATTTATTTGAAAGTCAGAGTTACAAAGAGAGAGGAGAGGCAGAAGGACAGAGAGGTCTTCCATCTGATGGTTCTCTCCCCAATTGGCAGCAATGGCCGGAACTGCACCAATCCGAAGCCAGGAGCCAGGAGCTTCTTCCGGGTCTCCCACATCGGGGCAAGGGCCAAAGAAGTTGGGCCATCTTCTACTGCTTTCCCAGGCCATAGCAGAGAGCTGGATCGCAAGTGGAGCAGCCGGGTCTCGAACCGGTGCCCATATGGGATGCTGGCACTTCAGGCCAGGGTGTTAACCCACTGCACCACAGCGCTGGCCCCAATGGAAGTGTTTCTTATTTCTGCTCTGCAGTGCTCACATGTAATAAGGGGCATAGTAGAATTGGGTGCTTTTCTCTCAGTCTTTGTCCTTATGTGCCCTTTCCTCCTTACAAGGCCTACTAAATCTTCCCTTAGCTCTGCTATCCTTTAAAAATCTGTACTTGAGACATTATGATAATAAAGTCTACTCTCAGTTTTATTTATTTGATTTAATACATAAAATGAACTCCTAGTCTCCATATTTTCCTTGAGATCACTATATGTCAAAAATATGCTGGAGTCTAAAGTCAGCTGATGTGTGTGTCAGGTGTACTTCCTGCCTTACAGGAGCTTACACTTTGGACTGTGGAGATACACAAAGAAAGAGCTGTTGTGTGATGAGAACTCCAGAAGAGGAGACCCCAGGGTGCTCCATGGAGGTAAGAGACTGAATATGCAGCCAGAGGACAGCCATTCCGTACCCTAATATAGAACTCGGACTTGCAGCAACCCAGTTCAGCAAGCCAAATGACAGTCTCTGTAGCTACCAGACTCACGTGGCCAAGATTTATCAATCACTAACTGCTGCCCTAATTGTATCCCCACTTCATACTTACTTCAGACCAACTGAAGAAAGCCAAACATGCCACCCTCACCGATCAGAGTTTCTCCCAGCTCCTTGTGACCCCACCTTTAATCAGCACAACATTTCCACTATGAAACATTCTGACTCCTCTGCCTGCTACTGGGTCTCTGCCAAATGCAAACCATCATGGCTGACTTCCTTGAATAAACAGCCAGTGCCTGTTCTCCATGGGGGTAAATTCCACAAGGTAGGGTGAGTACAGCTTGGGTCAGAAGGGAATAAAGAGTAAAAGACTTAGGGGTCAGTGCTGTGGCATGGCAGGTGAGGCTGCCACCTGTGGAGCCAGCATCCCAAATGGGCACCAGTTGGAGTCCCGGCTGCTCCACTTCCCATCCAGCTCTCTTTTATGGCCTGGGAAAGCAGTGGAAGATGGCCCAAGTCCCATCAGCAAGAGAGACCTGGAAGAAGCTCCTGGCTCCTGGCTTTGGATTGGCCCAGCTCTGGCCATAGTGGTCATCTGGGGAGTGAATCAGGGGATGGAAAAACTCTCTCTCTCTCTCTGTTTCTGATAAATAAATAAATCTTAAAAAAAAAGAGTAAAGGACTTAAATGGGATACACACAAGGCACGGCAGGGAAAGAAAATAGCTTTATTGAGTGAAATAATATGTGCAGATCCAGACAGGACACAGCCTGGGGCTCACTGTTATTTTATGAGTCTCATGGTGCACTGGATGCGGAGCCTTGTGCCACCCATTCTCAGAGCATAAATCCCCACTGCCAGCCTCCTTCACTTAAACCCCGCCTAGACCCAACTGCTTTGACATCTTGTGATTCTAATAGCATAAATCCTTCACATTCTCCCTCTGAATCAGACTCTTCTCATCTTCCGTCTGCTCCTTTCTGCTTCATAAATGTGGTAAATTATGTTCAATACACTCTTTTTTGGTTGTTGTTCAGTAAACTCTTACTTCAGCTTTTGCTATAGTTTATACTTATTTCCCTCACCAAGTAAATTTCCAATTTTCTAGTTGCTTCATACCTACATTGAGGCAGCTTTGTGTGGTTCTAAAGTATCATCTAACTAGATATCACCTCATACCTATTAGCATGGTTACTATTTAAAAAAAACATAAAATAACAAATGTTAACAAGAAGATGGAGTAACTGGAACCTACTGTGCACTATTGGTGGGAACATAAAATGGTTCAATGGCTATGGAAAACTGTGTGGCAGCTCCTTAAAAGCATCAAAATAGAATTTCCATTTGATTCAATGATTTCATATATATATATGAATTCCATATATATTTCATGTATATATATATATTTAATATATATATATCAAAGTACTGAAAAATTGAAAAGGTATTTAGGGGCCAGTGCTATGGCATAGTGGGTAAAGCTGCCGCCTGCAATACCGGCATCCCATATGGGTGCCGGTTCAAGTTTCAGCTGCTCCACTTCTGAACCAGCTCTCTGCTATGGCCTGGGAAAGCAGTGGAAGATGGCCCAAGTCCTTGGGTCCCTGTACCTGCATGGGAGACCTGGAAGACGCTCCTGCCTCCTAGCTTCTGATCAGCTCACCTCTGGCCACTTTGGCCAACTGGGGAGTGAACAAGCAGTTGGAAGATCTCTCTCTCTGCCTCTCATTCTCTCTCTGTGTAACTCTGACTTTCAAATAAATAAATAAATCTTAAAAAAAAGAAAAGGTATTTGTACACATATGCTCATTAGCAGAATTATTCACAATACATAAAATGTGGAAGCAATCCAAGAGCCCATTGATGGGTGAATGGGTAAATAAAATGTAATATATACATACAATGCAAAATAGTATGAAGATTCCAAAAATAAAAATAAAAATACTTCTATATGACCCAACTATTCCAGTTCTTGGAATATATCCAAAGGAAATAAAGTTAACATACAAAAAGATATCTGTACTTCTGAGATTACTGCAGCAGTATTCAAAATAGCAGACATGTGGAATCAACCCCAGATGCCCACCAATTCATAAATGAACAAAGAAAATGTGGTATATACACACAAGGGATTATTATTCATCCATAAAAACAATGAAATCCTGAAGCTGGCAACAAATGGATGGAATTGGAATTCACAGTGCTGAGTGAAATCAGCCAGGCCCAGAAAAACTGGGCTGTGATCATCTCAAAGACGTCAGGATACATCCAGGTATTGGTGGTTCAATGACAACACATGTCTCAATAAAACACTTCTCACACTAAATGCACTTGTATGGCTTTGAGCCTGTGAAAACACTCCAGTGGTGTTTAAGGATTTGTACCTACAGAATCCCCCACAGGCACTGCAGTCATATGTCCTTTCTCTGCAGTGAATTTGCTGGTGCCAAGCTAGTATGTATTTGCAGCTGAAGGTCCCCACATCTGCTACATTTGCTACACTCAGCACTCTTTCTGTAGCAGACTTCATTGTGCAGAAGTTTGTGTCCGGTACTGAAGCTATTTTGCATTTACCTCATTGGTAATGATTTTTTTCCCCTATGTTAAAAGACTCCTCACAGTTAATGCTATCGCATTGCTTCTCACTGCTGGGAGTGGCCTGGTTGTGCAGAAGGCTGAAGTGCCTGGAAAGTTATTTCAGACCTCCCCACAGGTAAAGGGCTGCCTTATCACACTGAACTCTGCAGCTCTTCACAAACGCAGCCCTGTCCATGTGCACTTGACAAGTTTCTCTCCACTATCACCCTGGAGCAGGGCAAGGTTTCACTCAACCAGAAGCCTCTTGATGCCTCACCTAAGTACAGGTTCTACCCAGAGGATTTTGCTTAGAGTACAGGCAACTGCAACATGTCTGTCATGACTGTGACACGTGTGTGACACGTGTGCCAGGGGCCGAGGTCTGGTGGGTGGACCTGCCCTGGGAGTTCTGACCTGTGATGCTCCCTCTGCAGATTCTGTTGATGAAGGAGAGGCAGGTTTTGGTGGCAGGGAGACGTACCACCAAAAATGTGGCCAACACCGAAGACTGCTCATGGGAATGCTTCTTGGACTCGGGAGCCAGCAGTCTGAGGACAGGGTCTCTAACGATCACAGCATGGACAAGGCCCCACTGGAAAAGGACACAGAAATGGTTCACCTTTCAGAGAGGAGAGCAGGTGTCCAGCTGCTTGTCTGCTGATATAATGAGTATGAGGCACAGAATTACTGGTAGCTAGACCCAGGGAAATCCAAAAGGACTCGGGTACCTGGATTTGTGCCCAGCTCACAACACTGACGTAAAGGTTGATATTAGACAACACTGAAGAAGCTACTGGGGAGGCAGGAGTGATACAGGCCAGAAAGGTACAAGAGTGAGTTATTGAAAGCTACAGATGAAATATGACAGTTCAGGAAAATGTCAAGCCACCCTGCAATGCTAGTTGTGCAACTACATGGGGCTGCCTGATACAAGCCCTAAGAGAAAAGAGTAGAGAGATAAGATGTGAGCAGGGCTCAAAGAACTCGGCACACAATAAACCACAGATAAAAAGAATAAGACTACAATAATAAAATCTTGAAGGAAAACATTTCAAGAAAAGCTCTTAGGACATGTAAGTCATAACCAGAATGAACAACACCTGCGACTCCTGACATAGGTAAAAATGGAAATGTTAGCTGAAGTACAGTGGTCCCTCGGGTCTGGACAGAGGCATCTTGCCAGCGAGAGGGCCAGAAGGGTCCACCACACTGACTGCAAGCTTCCTGACGCTCGGATACTTTCCTGAACACATGGACCCAGCAGAGATGTTGGGACAGGGCTCAAAGCTTGTCACAGCACCCACAGACCTGTACCCTTCAGCACCGCATGCCCATTTCATTAGCAACCAATGTCCTGGTGAAGGCTGATTCCTGATGAGGGAACCAGAGACCATCCTCTCCTCCCTCTGTGACATGTGCCAGGAAAGTGGTGACTTGAGTAGAGCTCAGAGTCCCCCAGTGCTAAGGACAGTAAGGACTGCCTCTGGGACACAGGGAAAGACAGCAAAGGACACTGGGAGAAATATGAGTGGCTTCCAGGAGATGCTATCAGGGCCAAGTTCTCCAGCATCACAGTGTGGTACAGGAGTCTCCGAGTCTCAGCCAGCAGCTGCCGCTCCTCAGAGTTACATGGCCTTGCCATGATCAGGACATTCCATGGTCAGCTTCTTTCTTAAGAACGTCAGTGTTGGCCAGTGCCACGGCTCAATAGGCTAATCCTCCACCTGCAGCGCCAGCACACTGGGTTCTAGTCCCGGTCGGGGCGCCAGATTCTGTCCCAGTTGCTCCTTTTCAGTCCAGCTCTCTGCTCTGGCCAAGGAGTGCAGTGAAGGATGGCCCAAGTGCTTGGGCCCTGCACCTGCATGGGAGACCAGGAGAAGCACCTGGCTCCTGGCTTCGGATCAGCACGGTGTGCTGGCCGCAGCACGCCGGCCATGCAGCAATTGGGAGGTGAACCAACAGAAAAAGGAAGACCTTCCTCTATGTCTCTCACTGTCCACTCTGCCTGTCAAAAAGAAAGAAAGAAAGAACCCCAGTGTTTACAGATGCTCATCCTTCCTTCCTCGTTTTCTTCATGCCCATCTCCCCATCTCATAGGAGATACCAGGTCCCAGTGCCATGGGTGCCCACCCTGTCCTCATGGGCTCATTGATCACTGGGCCCTCCCACTACAATAATAGGCAGGTGGACAAATATTTAAGCCCAGAACCAGGCACACAAAGAAGCACCCCCTCTCACTAGGCAATTTTCCTGGAACACCACAGATTGTAATTCCTAGATACAACCAAGGGTCTGGGTTTATCTTCCATCCTTATGTTCTCAGTGACAGAAAACCCTTGAACACCCCTTTCTCCACCCAGCACACCACTCTTTCTACCACACTTCCCTCACATAGCTGCATTCCTAGTCCCCCTCTCCACCATCCAAACTGGCAGCATCTCCATGGCTTCTGACATGTCACTTAGCATTACTCATCCACAGATGCTTGCAAATTCAAACAAGATTCAGGACTACCCAGAGCCATGATGGTCCCCACTGTCAGACATGGCCCTGAATCCAACTGTAAGGGTCTCTCTGCCTCACTCTGTTCCTTACATTAACTTCCACAGTAAGAACCATCAGCAGATTTCAGAAACCCATTGTCCATTCTAACTTGTCATTCAATTATCACTATCTGCCTTCCTCTCCTCCTAACCCGAATCCACAACCTTGGCTGAATGACCCTCTACCCCACATATAGTGACCCTTTCAAATGACCACTTGTGCCCCTAATACAACCTACTCACCAGACACAACAAATATCGTGATAAAATCCCTGCAGGTCTACAAAGCAGCAAATAAGATGATATCCTTGTGAGCCTCCACATCTATATCATGCTTGCTCATGGCTCAGAAGCTATGGCCACCCACAAGGTCATCCTCTTTCCCACACTGTGCAATGGCCACTTCTCTTCTGTATCTGTATTTCTGACATCTACAGTGCTCATCCAGGTACCCAGCTATGATACAGTTGTGGCCTCCATCGCTCCCCTTCCTCACCTTCTAAGAACATTAATATCATTAATAGGAGTCCCTCTACTGATTGTGACCCCATACTTTTATGAGCTGAATGTCTGTGTCCTCCTAAAGTTCATATATTGAAGCACTAACACAATAAAGCCCAATACAATGTGATAGTATTTAGAGCAAGTACCTTTGAATGATAAATTTAGAATAGGTCAAGAATGTGAAACCCTCGGACTGACACTGTGTTGCAGTGGGTTAAGCTGCTGCTTGCGATGTCAACATCCCTCGCCAGAGTGTAGGTTTCAGTCCAGATGCTTTGCATCTGATCTGCTAATGGGCCTGAAAAATCAGGAGATGATCCAAGTACTTGGACCTGTCACCCATGCAGGAGATCAGGATGGTGTTCCTGGCTCTTGGCTTCTGCTTAGACTAGCCCTGATGTTTGAGGAGTGAACCAGGAGATGGAAGATCAATTTCTCTCTCTCTCTCTCTCTCTACCTCTTTCTTCCTTTCTTCCTCTCTTCCTCTCTTTCTTCCTCTCTTCCTCTCTCTCTCTGCCTTTCAAATAAATAAATAATAAATATTTTAAAAAGAAAATGAGACTAAGAAGAAAAAAAAATCTTGCTCTATCCACAGGATCCCTCCCAGGAAAGACCATGTGAGTATACAGGAAAGTAGCTATTGCAAGCCAGGAAAGGAGCTCTTACCACAAACCAAAACTCTGACACCTTGGTCTTGGGCTTCCCAGCTTCCAAACTGTGAGAAACACATTTTTGTTGTTTAAACCAACAGTATATATGTTATTGTTAACCGTCTGAACTAAGACCAACAGCTCCATACTGGCCCATGCACTATCAGCTGCTCTTAGAAGATGTCTCAGTCCTGAACCCCACACCTAAATTGCAGATTGATGTGTCTATCCCTCCACCCTTGATACCTCTACTCATCCTCAAATACCTCATATCTTTAATATGCCCAAAATAAACTTATGATGTTCCCAGTGAAAATTATTCCTATTAGTTACTTTCTCATCCCAGGAGATGGAGCTTCTATACTCCAACTAATGAATGCAAAAATCTTTCAGTCATCCCCTTTTTCTCTCTCATTCGCAAAAGTAGAAAATCAGAGCAGACCTATACAAAATTATGAGCCAGAATGCAACCATTTCTACCACTTCCACAGCTACTACAATGGTTACACCATCAAGACTCATCTGGGAGCCAGCGCCATGGCTCACTTGGTTAATCCTCTGCCTGCGGTGCCGGCATCCCATATGGCTGCCGGGTTCTAGACCCGGCTGCTCCTCTTCCAATCCAGCTCTCTGCTGTGGCCCAGGAAGGCAGTGGAGGATGGCACAAGTGCTTGGGCCCTGCACCCACATGGGAGACTGGGAAGAAGCACCTGGCTCCTGGTTTCAGATCAGAGCAGCTCTGGCCATAGTGGCCATTTGGGGAGTGAAGACCTTTCTGTTTTCTCTCTCTCTCTCTCTCTCTCTCTCTCTCACTTTACCTGTCAAATAAATTCAAAAAAAAAAAAAAAAAGAAAGACTCTCTGGATTACTGCAGTAGTCTCCTCCCTCATCTTGCTGTCTCTTCACTCGCAAAGGCTGTTCTCCACACTCAGGTGTAAAGAGCCTATGAGACCTGGGTCAGGCCACCTCCCTTCTCTGCACCAAACCTCCCTTTGCCTCCATCATCTCCAGAACAGTTCTGCCCTCTGTTCTATTAGGAAAGGAGACTTGAAGTTCCCTGAAGCAACACAGCCTCACCTGGAACCACCTGCATACACATGTTCCTATTCCAGGAACAAACTTCTATAATCCATTCCATTGTTTGCTAATAGCAGGAACCACTCCATGGAACCCCCAAGTTGGATTCAGAATCCTGGGCCTAGGATCCATTCAGGGTCTCCAGGCCCAATGCCTGCAAGAGCGGCAAGAAAAGATTTTTGGTACAGCAGTCACAGAGATCACACGGATGGGAAGACCAGTAAGGTCTGGGACACACTTCATTCACTTTGTAGTGTCTGTAAGTGCTACTGATACAAAGCCAGGATCAGGAGCCTCCCCATGGTCCTTCATATGGGTGCAGGGGCCCAAGGACTTGGGCCATCCTCCATTGCTTTCCCAGGCCATGGCAGAGAGCTGGATCAGAAGTGGAGCAGCCGGGACTCACACCAGCACCCATATGGGATGCCAGAACTGCAGGTGGTGGCTTTACCCACTATGCCACAGCACCAGTCTCTTTCATGTATTACAAAATGCATTCTCTTTTTCATTCTTGCCTCATCTATCTCTGGATAAATTAACTAGTTTAGAATAACAGCTTTCTGTGATATCAACAGTTTGCATTCTTAAAAAAATGTGAATGATACATTAATTAGTCATGTTTTGGCGATTGAAACTCTGGGAATTCAAAATTAACATCTTACAGACACCAGAAAAATTTCAGCCTTGTTTTGCACACTGTTCTATCTTGCTTTGTTCAGACAACTTTGCAAGCTAGCTGCCATCCAATCACACGTGGATCTTGTGGTCCATTATTTCACTCAGGAAACTCACGTCTGCAAGGAGGGCAAGGAGTGTGGCCCCAGGGAAGCTTCTGCTTCTTTTTCTCTAGGTTTTTCCAGTTGGCTCAGGCAAAACTCACCCTTGAGGAATGAAGACAATACTCTTCCCACTGAAGTTTTCCCCAGTTCACATACCAGCTGGACTTGGATTTTCTGGAGGTTTCAGTTGAGGAACAGGAACAAAGAATATGATCCCTTTCCGACCACCACCAACTTTGATTTCCAACCACCATGATCTACAGTTCCCTGAGTTGAGCCTTAAGGTCAAAGTTCATGTCAGCTCCAGACATGCCTGGGAGATGCTGAACTTGACCACTATGGCTCCTAGGCACTGGGCTTCACCATCTGGGCATTCACGCTGCACTTGGCAACTTCTTGCTGAACACTGTTATGGAAAAACTCCAGGTCTTGTGCAAGAACTTGAAATCTCAGCTAACAAAGGCAAGATTCTGGAACAGTGCAAGAAGTAGTGTGGAAATGAGAAAGATCTGTGAGAGGCTGTAGGCAGTTTAGACAGTCCCAGCAAGTAATTGGGGCAGAGTTGGTGATGCATTTCCACCCCAAAAGTCATTCTTTGGTGCTACTTAATGAAAATCCCTGTGCTAGCTCCTCCTATTCTATTCTCTGATTTCTGTCCCAGGTGGCATCTGGGGCAACCTGGTCTAGGTCTAGGCCTTTTTCTAGGCCTGGGTGAGAGACTGGACAAAGAAGAGCACCTTCTGCACCAACTCTGGTGGTTGGAAGTCCGAGTTCAAGGCGGCAGTGGGTTTGGTGCCTGTTGAGGGAAAGCTTCCTGGTTTACCACATCTTTTGGCTGTGCCCTCACATGATTGCTGCACATGGTTTCTCCTGAGGCAAACACAAGTCCCCATTTAGACACGGTCATGGCAGCTCCAAGTGAAATGATAGTTATTTCCTAGAAAGAGTTGACTTCATACTGGCCCGTCTTTAATTCACTTGTCCCCGCACATTCCATAATCATGACAGCACTGTCACTCTGGGTGATTCTGTGCCTAGCTGGGGGATTGCCTGCCTCCCCCATGCATGGGTAAGGACGGTGTGGTACACCACACCTCCCAGGATGGCCTGACTGTTGCAGGTGGCAGGAGCACCAGGCACATTTCCCCCACCTCCTTCCCATCCCTGTTGAAGGGTCTTGTAATTACCAGTCAGGGAAACAGCACCCGGGTGAAGCCCAGACCCAGTAGGACCTCCTGGAAAGCTACTGTAGCCAAGTGACCTTCAAGCTGACTGGAGAAACATAGCAGTGCCAGTATTGCCTCTATCCTACAGAATTAGTGTTGCCCTGAATTAGCTGCCTGCCCTTTAAAAGGGGAGCTTGATGGTTAATAAAAGGGACACGTTTGCCATAACTTGTCTCTGCTGCTCCTTTTTGAAAAATGCATTGCCCCACCCCAGCTCTGTGGACCTCGCAGGCCGAGTCTGCATTTATTTCACCTGTCCACATGTATTCCGTAATCATGACAGACTCTGTCTCTTCAGGAAATGTCATTTTATAAGTGGATCTTCCTTTTGGGTAAGATATCGATTTTTATGGAAATTGGATATTTCTTAGAAAACCTAGTAAGAAATATTGTGTGAAAATTTAATTCTATTTTTCTTTTTCTAGCTTTGGAACCCTGATAAATATCTATATGAGATATTTTTCTGAGGGTTCTTGAAAAGTACACATGTTCAAGATTGATGGGATGGGGCCAGTGCTGGCGTAGCCAGTAAAGCTGCCGCCTGCACGCTGGCATCCCCTATGGGTTCCAGTTCAAGACCTGGCTGCTCCACTTCCAACCCTGCTCTCTGCTATGGCCTCAGAAAGCAGTGGAAGATGGTCCAAGTTCTTGGGCCCTGCACTCGCATGGGAGACCAGGAAGAAACTCCTGGCTCCTGGCTTCTGATCGGCATAGCTACAGCCGTTGTGGCTATTTGGAGAGTGAACCAATGGAAGGAAGACCTTTCTCTCTCTCTCTCTCTTTCTCTCTCTCTCTGTAAAACTACCTTTCAAATAAATTTTTAAATAATGCATCTTCTCATTCCCTGCCCATCCCATAATCAGCTTCTCCCAGACCAATCACTCATCATGTAGCACACTGCATAATTAATCTGTTATTGACATTTTGTCTGCTGTCCCATTCTCAATTACAATATTGCTGCAATACAGGAAGTTTCTTTCCTAGCTGTCTTTCACTTCTCTGATACATCACATGCATGAAGAATAATATATTATGTACTTTAGGTGCTTAAGGAGTATATGGATGTAACAAATAAAGGCATTGACTTGACCATGAACCATTTATAACACTCTGGCAGTTCTCTCCTTTTCACTTGCTTTGTCTTATTCTTCAAGGCTGTGACTGTGCATATTTCTGAGAAATAAACCAGAATCCTGGTTGGGAGACAAAACTCAGATCAGCCAGAAACACAGCCTTGCTTTGTGCTCAACTTCCCTCTGTTGCTCCCTGTACCTTAATGCCCTCATGTCATCGTTCACTTTCACCTGGTCTTTTTCATGGATTACAGACATTCTGGGGCCAGAGTGTGGAGTAGCAGGTAAAGCCAGCACCTGCAGCAGCAGCATCCCATATGGGCACTGGTTCACTCCTGGCTGCCTCGCTTCTATTCCAGTTCCATGCTAATGTCCTGGGAAAAGTGGCAGAAGATGACTCAAGTGTTTGGGTCCATGATACCCATATAGGAGACCAGGAAGAAGCTCCTGGCTTCAGCTTGGCCCAGCACTGATTGTTGGGGTCATTTGGGAAGTTAACCAGCAGATGGAAGCTGTCTCTGTAATGACTTTCAAATAAATAAATCTTTTAAAAAAAAAGGCAAACCTGCATTCTTCTAGTTATTCCTGCCTCTTCAATTTCTAGATAAATTAGCTGGATGCAAATAATAGCTTTCAGTGGTGTCAACATTTTGTAAAACATAGGAGATTTCATTTATCAATTTATTGCACATTGACATTCTGGAATCAAAATTAACATCTTTGCCTGAGAGCTTCTGGAAAAGTTTTAACCTTGTGATGCACATTGTTTTCCTCTGCTTTGTCAGAGTGATGTGCCATTCAGTTATATCACAATTTGTTGTCCACAATCTCAGTTAGAAAGACCCTGTTCACGTGCTGCAATGGGTTAACACCCTGGCCTGAAGCACCGGCATCCCATATGTGTGCCAGTCAGAAACCCAGCTGCTCCACTTCTGATCCAGCTCTCTGCTATGGACTGGGAAAGCAGTAGAAAATGGCCGAAGTACTTGCGCCCTTGCACCCAAGTGGGAGACCTGGGCGAAGCTCCTGACTACTGGCTTTGGATCAGCGCAGCCATGGCACTTGTGGCCAAGAAGGGAGAGAACCATCAGATGGAAGACCTCTCTCTCTCTCTCTCTCTCTCTCTCTCTCTCTGCTGCTCCTCTCTCTGTATAACTCTAACTTATAAATAAATAAATCTTAAAAAAAAGAAAAACCATGTTCACAAAAATGTCATCCCAGTCCCAGAGAAACTTTTCCTTCTTTTTCTCTGGGTTTTCCAATTGGTTTACACATAACTTTCCTTTGAGGAATGAAGACAATATTCTTCCACTATATTTTTCTCCAGAATACTGTTCTAGCTGGACTTGTGGAATTGTGTTCGGAATTTGTCTGAGGGTATACAACTTAACATGCTT